GACGCTGTGGCATAGTAAGCTAAGCTTCCATCTGTGATGCTAGCATCCCATATGGGCGCCCGTTCGTGTCTCGGCTGCTCCACTTCCCATCCAGCTCTCTGCTATAGCCTGGAAAAGTAGTAGAAGATGGCCAAGTGCTTGTGCCCCTGCAACCCACTTGAGAGATCTGGAAGAAGCTCCTGGCTCCTGGCTCCTGGCTTCAGATCAGCTCAGCTCCAGCTGTTGCAGCCATTTTGGGAATGAATAAGCAGATGGAAGACCTTTCTTTCTGCCTCTACCACTCAAATAAATAAAATATTTAAAAATAATAATAATGTAGTTGAATATTTGTCCATATGGTCTTTGATCATTGTTCTTATATTTGCCTTTCAACTTTCACTTTTTTGAAGTATTTCTCCTTTGTATTGATTTATAATAAGTTTTTGTACATATTTTTAAAAGATTTATTTATTTATTTATTTGAATAGGAGGAGGGAGTGAGAGAAAGAGATCTCCCATCAGCTGGTTCACTCCCTAAATGGCTGGCTGCAACATTTGGGGCTGAGCCAGGCCAAAGCCAGGAGCTAGGAGCTCCATCTGGGTCTCCCACATGGGTGGCAGGGGTCCAAGCACTTGGGCCTTCTTCCTCTGCCTTCCAAGGTGCGATAGCAAGAAGCTGGATGGGAAACAGAATTCTCCCATGTGGCGTGCCTGCACTGAAAGTGGAGTGTTAACCCCACTGTGCCTGCCCCACCCATATTTCTTGTTGCAAAGTCTCTCCTTCTCTTTTGTTGTCTGTTTTCAAATGTTTTATTTTAATGATTTTGGGGTTTAGAAGTTAACATTTTTTTAATGTATACCCTTTCTTTAGAATTTTTTCCTTTTGAAACAGGTTTTTGTTTCCTTTTTAGGTTGTCTTCATTACAATGTCTTCATATACAATGGTATATAAGTATAATCACCTACATTTTTTTAAGATTTATTTTATTTATTTGAAGGACAGAGTTATAGAGAGAGGTAAAGACAGAGAGAGAGGTTTTCCATCCGCTGGTTCACTCCCCAGATGGCCACATCAGCTGGAGCTGTGCCGATCCGAAGCCAGGAGCCAGGAGCTTATTCCGGGTCTCCCCATGAGGGGATAGGGGCCCAAGCACTTGGGCCATCCTTCACTGCCTTCCCAGGCCACAGCAGAGAGCTGGACTGGAAGAGGAGCAACTGGGACAGAATCAGGTGCCCCAACTGGGACTAGAACCCGGGATGCTGGCACCGCAGGCGGAAGATTAGCCTAGTGAGCCACGGTGCCGGCCTATATTCTCTTATTTCTCTAAAATAACTTTTTTTTGAAATCTTAGGCTTCTAATATGCTTAAGTTTTTTTAAAAATAAAATAATTTTTTGTTTTTGCACAAAAATGATAAAATCAGCAAATATAACATAAAATTTCATAGTTTGTAAAGCTGTAAAATTATGAACATTAAAAATAATTGAAATTATAAATAAAAATTCGGCAGGTGATATATGTAAGTATTAGAATTAGAGGCAAATATTAGAAAAAAAGTTACCATTCTACCTCAAAATCAGCATGCAAATGAGTTCCAGATAAATGATTAAAATGTGAATAATGAAATAAAAAGACTAAAAGAAAATGTAGGTGTTTGGGGCTGGTGTTGTGGCGCAGCGGGTTAAAGCCCTGGCATGAAGCCAGGAGGAAGCACCTGGCTCCTGGCTTCGGATCTGCGCAGCATACCAGCCGCAGCAGCCATTTAGGGGGTGAACCAATGGAAAAAGGAAGACCTTTCTCTTTGTCTCTTTCTCTCTCACTGTCTAACTCTGTCTATAAAAAAAAAAAAAAAAAAAAAAAGGAGAGAGAATATAGCTCATTCTTATAACCAAGCACAGTCTGCATCTATGACAGCAAAGAATAAACAAGGACACATTCATTCTTTTAATTAGCTTTCACAGTTCTGTCTTGGCTGGTTATATCAGCTAGTTACAGTAAAACTAGTGATAATAAACCCAAGATCAAAGGTTTGCTTTATTGGCAGTTAATTTCACAGCATGAGAAACAGTTCTTAGTTCTTATTGAGTTAGACCTTGACTTTTTCAAAAAAAAGTATAAATGTCTTACAGAAGTCATTGTTGCTTCTGCTGAAACAGTTAAAACACAACTTATGTTCTCATTTTTAAAGGTACCTCAAGTCGCTTTGAAGGACCTCACCTGAAGTTGATACTGTTGTGATTTCTTAGTTTTTTAATCTTTTTAAAAATTGCATGTTATTTTAAATCATTTATTTATTTGAAAGGCAGAGTGAGAGACAGGTGGAGGATCTCCCATCTGCGTGTCCATTCCCCAAAATGCCCGTAACAGGGAGCTCAGTCTGCTTCTCTCGTGCAGGTGGCAGCGACCCAACTACTTGAGCCATTTATCTCTGCCACACAGTGCGTGCGCTCATTAGCAGGAAGCTGGATTGGAAGCTTAGCAGGGACTCAAATCCAGGCATCCTGAGCAGCATCTTGACTTGGACCAAATGCCTGCCCTATTATTTTAGTTGAGAAAAAGTAACTTTTTAAGATGACCTGACATTTTAGGTAGTCATCTTAGAACAAGATTTGAATTTCTTTATGCTAGTGGGAATGTGTTACTTAATTTTAAGCACTTATTATTTGCATTTCAGTTAACCTTTTTATAGTTTCCCTATTGGCCACATGTAAATGTATTTAAGCTATAGAAATCTGTGAAGTCCTTTTCAACCTGCTTTAGGTCCTTTTTAATATTACTAATGAGAATGGCCTTTTGAATTTTTTTAAAAAATCTAATTATGGGGGCCGGTGCCTGCCTACAGTGCCGGCATCACATATGGGTACCAGTTCAAGTCCCAGCTCTTCCACTTCTGATCCAGCTCTCTGTTATGGCCTGGGAAAGCAGCGGAAGATGGACAAGTCCTTGGGTCCCTGTACCCACATGAGAGACCTGGAAGAAGCTCTTGGCTCCTGGCTTTAGATGGGCCCATCTCCAATTGTTATAGGCATTTGGAGAATGAACCAGTAGATGAAAGACCTCTCTCTCTCTCTCTCTCTCTGCCTCTCAAATAAATCAATCTAAAAAAATATATGTATATATATATACACACACACTTACTTATTTATTTGAAAAACAGTGACAGAGAGAAAGGGGGAGAGAGAGAGAGCTTTCATCTGCTGATTCACTCCCGAAATGACTCAACAGCTATGTCTGGGCCAGACCAATGTCAAGGGCCTGGAACTCCATACAGCTCTCTTATGTGGATGGTAGGGGTCAATACTTGGTTCATCCTCTGCTGCCTTCCCGGGTACTTTAGAAGAAGCTAGATTGGAAATGGAGTAGCCTGGGCTCTGCATAGCAAGTGGTGGCTCAACCTGTTGTGCCGCAAAACTGGTGCCAGTGGTCTTTGGATTTTTATTTTTTTATTTTTTTTATTTTTGACAGGCAGAGTGGACAGTGAGAGAGAGAGACAGAGAGAAAGGTCTTCCTTTTTCCATTGGTTCACCCTCCAACAGCCGCCACGGCCTGCGCGCTGCGGCCGGTGCACCGCGCTGATCCGGTGGCAGGAGCCAGGTACTTATCCTGGTCTCCCATGGGGTGCAGGGCCTAAGTACTTGGGCCATCCTCCACTGCACTCCCTGGTCACAGCAGAGAGCTGGCCTGGAAGAGGGGCAACCGGGACAGAATCCAGCGCCCCGACCGGGACTAGAACCTGGTGTGCTGGTGCCGCAAGGCGGAGGATTAGCCTAGTGAGCCACGGCGCCGGCCCCGTCTTTGGATTTTTGAGTTATCAAGAAAGAAGACAAAAGACTTGTTATCAAGGTGTCTAGTAAGTCTCATAGTAGTCTAAGTGTGTTCAAGTCCTGTAGATCCACTTACTGTTGTAATTTAGGCTGTGTAATGTCAGTCTTTATCGAAAGCTCTTTAAGAGGTAAGACTTTTAAAAGGGTAAAACCTTTATTTTAGGAAATAACAGTTACTCTGATGTTGAAAATTATAACATTATTAGATAATCATTGTTCATACTGTATTTCTCCACTTTTCCTTATCACACAAAATGTAGCAGCTTTTATTTAAAATACTTGAAAGAAATCCCAAACCTCATTAGATATATGGGGCTAGCACTGTGGCACAGCAGGTTAAGCTGCTGCCTGAGATGCTGACATCCCATCCGTATCAGAGCACCGGTTCTAGTCTTGGCTGCTTCACTTCTGATCCAGCTTCCCACTGAAGTGCCTGGGAAGGCAGCAGGTTTTGGCCCAAGTACTTGGTCCGCAGCTACACACACAGGAGACCAGGATGGATTTCCAGACTCTTGGCTTCCACCTTGACCGTTGTGACCATTTAGAGAGTGCCAGCAGATCTCTTTCTATATCTTCCTCCCTCTCTCTCTCTCTCTTACTCTGCCTTTCAAATAAGTAAAAATAAAATATTTACCCAAGAAAAAAAAAAAGGAACTATAACATTGCCATCCTGCCTTCTCCTTCTCTCTTCCTATAAAAGCCAAGAGCCAGGGATGACATTACCTAATCCATGGAGCCCTCTCCTCCAGGGGTGCTTGACGATTTACTCCAGGGCCTTTCTTTGTTAAAGAGTAGAGTGACGCTCTTCTTTCCTGGACGGTTGTTCAACTTCTTTTCTCACCCTCTTGACCTCTTGAATGTATTTCTCTGAAATTTTTGTGGTATGTGATGCTTTGATACTTAAGAAATTCCACGTTTTTTGTTGCCTGACTTCTTGTGCCATTTTTCCCCCGTCAGTGAAGTGTCTGACAAAAGAGGTTCATCCTGAGATAAACCTTTTCATGATAGTGTCATCTGTTTTAAACCTTATTGATGTCTCTCTAGGAGCAGAAATGAGACTCATCAGGAGGTGTTTGTTCACAGTATGATACGACTTGGCAGTTGGTGTTGGGTTGTGTACTTCAGACAGCTTTTTTTCTGCCATGTTTTGAATAAGAGCAAATGTTTTCTAACTTGGCAATATCTCATCTGTCCCAGGATTGGACTGGTCTGAAGAGAGCGGAGAGGAACTGGAGGACTCAGAGCAGGCCTCTCCATACCAGGTTGCATGGTCCATCCGAGAAACCCTAAGATATGAAAGACACATGTAAGTCATCTTTTCCATTTTTATTCTTAACACCGTAGCTGAGTGAGGTTCTTTCTTATGTCTATTCATGGGATTTTTGTTTTTGTTTTGTTTTGGTTTTGATCTAATTTTATTGTAATGGAGGTTAAGTAGATTCCCATGGGAAGAAATGTACTGTATTGTTTGAGCAAAGCTACTCTTAAGTTTTCTTGGTAAATTTGTTTCTCTACATTTGGCATTCATCATTGAGCGTGCCAATTGTAATAGAATTTAAAATTGAGAGGGCCCTGATGCAAAGTCTTCATTTACAGAAGAGGAAAGCAAGGTAGGTTTATGAATGTGCTCGTGTTCACCTAGAGGTCTGTATCTCCCTTGGTCCCATCCCTGCAGTAGCTAGAGATAGTGCTTTTATTTCACCTCTGTCTTCTACACTGATCCATTCTTAAATATGACTTCAAAATGAGTGTTTTTCTCAGATCTGTGGGAGATTTATGAACTTTTTTCTTCAATGATAGTGAGGAATCTAATTTTCTTTCTGTCAACTGCTTTGTCAGTTTTTAGGGAGAAATATACTCATCAAGTAGTACAGATGGTCACTGAACATAACTACCTAAGAAGCAAAAGCTTCTTTGGGCATGAAATTAGAACAAGATTTGGTTGGATTTTATGAGTGGCCAGTATCATTAAATTTCAATAGTGTGATGCATCCATTTCTGTCCTGGGGGTTTGTCTTCTCTCCAGTTGCCCTTGCCTCACTTATCTCCTAAATTGGAGAATACTATACTGTTTTTTTTTCCTTGAGGTTCCATTTTATATCTGTTTAAGACTGTTTCCTTATCATTAGTATGTTCCTTATTTTAGATAGAATACAATAGAGATAAATAGGATTAAGGTTTTATTTTTAAAAAAATATTTTATTTATTTTTATGTACTTGCAAGGTTGAGAAACAGAGACAGAGATCTTCTATCCATTGGTTCACTCCCTACATACCCTAAACAGCCAAGGCTGGGCCAGGCCAAAACCAGGAGCCAGGAACTCAATCCTGGTCTCCCACATGGATGGCAGGAACCAAAATACTTGAACCATCATCTACTGCCTCCCAGAATGCACATCAGCAGGAAGCTGGGTTGTAAGCAGAGTAGCTGGAATTTGAACCAGTCACTGATATATGGGATGTGGGCATCCCAAGCAGTGACCCAACTGCTGTGTCAAATGTCTACCCCCATCTTTAGGAAAGTTTTGCATTTAAAATTACTTAGTTCATTTCATTTTTGGAAGAAAAACTGAAAGTTGAATGGTCATCATGTTCCTACCTGAAGAACTAGGATTTTACTTAAATTTTTTGAGGATCTGGCTTTGTTTTGTCAAAGGTTTTTTGGTGATTCCACTTAGTTATATGTGGATACTCCAAAAAGTTTGTGTAAAATGGGAATTAAAAGTTCCGTGTCAGGCATTTGGTCTAGGAGTTAAATCACCTGGCATCCCATAATAGAGTACGTGGGTTCAAGTTGCTGCTCCACTCTCCATTCAGTTTCCTTTTTTCTTTTTTTTTTTTTTTTTTGATTTATTTATTTGAAAATCAGAGTTAAACACACGGGGTGAGGGGGTGCCTTCCATCCACTGGTTCACTCCCTAATCAGCTATAACAGCCGGAGCTGGGCCAGTCTGAAGCCAGGAGCCAGGCAGGAGCTTCTTCCAGGTCTCCCACATGGGTGCAGGGGCCCAAGGACTTGGGCCATCTTCTACTGCTCTCTCAGGCCATAGCAGAGAGCTGGGTTGGAAGTGGAGCAGCTGGATCTTGAACCAGCGCCCATAGAGGATGCCAGCACTTCAGGCCAGAGCATTAACCTGCTGCATCACAGCGCCGGCCCCTCCATTTCAGTTTTCTGCTGATCCTGACCCAGGGAGGCAGCAGGTGATGGCACAATCATTGGATCCCTGCCATCCTAGCCCAGTTCCAGCCATTGCTGGCATTTGGAGAGTGAGCCAGTACAACAAAGCTCTTTTTTTTTTTTTTTTTTTTTTTTGACAGGCAGAGTGGACAGTGAGAGAGAGAGACAGAGAGAAAGGTCTTCCTTTGCCGTTGGTTCACCTTCCAATGGCTGCTGCGGCCGGCGCACCGCGCTGATCCAATGGCAGGAGCCAGGTGCTTCTCCTGGTCTCCCATGGGGTGCAGGGCCCAAGCACTTGGGCCATCCTCCACTGCACTCCCTGGCCACAGCAGAGAGCTGGCCTGGAAGAGGGGCAACTGGGACAGAATCCGGCGCCCCGACCGGGACTAGAATCCGGTGTGCTGGCGCCCCAAGGTGGAGGATTAGCCTGGTGAGCCGTGGCGCCAGCCCAACAAAGCTCTCTCTCATTGTCTCTTCCTTTAAGTATTTAAAAAAAAATAAAGTTTATTTTGATGCAAAAATTGTTTTAAAATCCATGGGTAAATGTTTCAATTTACTCATTTTCTATGAATTTTATCTCTCAATATCAGAAATAAGTTACTGTCTTAAATGTATGAAGGGACAGTATTACTGCCATTTCTTTTTCTTTTTCGTTTTTTAAAAGATTTATTTATTTGAAATGCAAAGTGGCAGAGAGAGTCAGAGAAGGATACATCTTCCATCTGCTGGTTCACTCTCCCAAGTGGCTGTAGCAACCTGAACTGGGCCAGGCAGAAGCCAGGAGCCAGGAACTCTGTCTGGGGCTCCCACATAGGAAGCATGTGTCCAAACACTTAGGTCATCCTCTACTGCCTTCCCAGGCACAGTTGAGGGAGCTGGAGCAGAAGTGGAGCAGCCAGGAATCAAATTGGTGCTCTGATATGGGATAACAGCATCATGGGCAGCAGCTTAACCCCCTATGCCACAATGCCAGCCCCACAAATTTTCTTTGAATTTGTTGAGACAGAGAAACTAAGAAAGCAAATTCCCAACTGCTAGTTGACTCCCCAAATGATCACAGTGGTCTTTGACTGAAGCCAAAGTTAGTAGCTGAGAACTTACTCCCAAGTCTCCCACATGGCAGGTGGTAGGAATCTAAATACTTCAACCTTTACCTGCTACTTCCAAGCGTAGGAGGAAGGTAGGAAGCTGGGATTGGGAGTAGAGCTGAGACTCTACTCGGGAATTGCTTTTTTAAAACCATTTATTGAAAACACTGTTATTGTTCCCTTTCATTGAAATCCTTGGTATAAATTAGGGTGATGTGTGTGTACGTTTGCATGTGTGTGTGTCTATTTGTACACTTTCTTTTTTTTACAGGCAGAGTTAGACAGTGAGAGAGAGAGACAGGGAGAAAGGTCTTCCTTTGCCGTTGGTTCACCCCCAAAGTGGCCGCTACGACCAGTGCGTTGCGGTTGGCGCGCTGCACTGATCCGAAGCTAGGAGCCAGGTGCTTTCTTCCGGTCTCCCATGCGGGTGCGGGGCCAAGGACCTGGGCCATCCTCCACTGCACTCCCAGACCACAGCAGAGAGCTGGACTGGAAGAGGAGCAACCGGGACAGAATCCAGCGCCCCAACCGGGACTAGAACCTGGGGTGCCGGCGCCGCAGGCAGAGGATTAGCCTAGTGAGCCGCGGTGCCGGCCTATTTGTACACTTTCTGTTCTGTTTCATTGGCCTATTTGTGTGCATGCCAGTAGTTTTAAGTAAGGTTTTACTCTTACTTTTGGTTTATCTCTTTGTGTCTTTTTTATTTCATTGCTTTATGTTCTAATCTTTATTATTTTCTTCTTATTTTAGATTTAATTTGCTCATCTTTTTGTAGTTAAATAAATTAGTATTTATATAAAGGAAACAAATTTCATGTGCTTCATATATACAGTTTTAACAGCATAATGATAGTCCTCAGCCTATTCTCCCTCACTCCCACTCTCCCTTCTCCTTTTTTTTTTTTTTTTTTTAAAAAAAATGTATTTATTTGAGAGGTAGAGTTTCAGACAGTGAGAGGGAGAGGCTGAGCGAGAGGTCTTCCATCCGCTGGTTCACTCCCCAACTGGCTGCAATGGCCAGAGCTGAGCCTGTTTGAAGCCAGGAGCTTCTTTCAGGTTTCCCGTGCAGGTGCAGGAGCCCAGGCACTTGGGCCGTCTTCTGCTTCTTTCCCAGGCCACAGCAGAGAGCTAGGTTGGAAAAGGAGCTGCCGGGACTAGAACTGGTGCCCATATGGGATGCTGGCACTGCAGGTGGAGGATTAACCTGTGCCATAGCACCGGTCCCTCGATTTACTTTATAATCATGAGCTTAACCCTCCAGTAAATAAAGAATTCAGCGAGTACTACGTGAAAAGACCACTGTTCCTCAGAAATATAGACAAGGGCTATAAACAATAATCAAATCTCAAAATGTCAATTTCACTCATGTGTTACTTTTTTTTACTCTGTTTATTACCGTAGTTCAGGGAAAACATATGGTATTTGTTTTTTAGGGACTAGCTTATTTCACTAAGCATAATGGTCTCCGGTTGCATCCATTTTGTTGTAAAAGGCTATCACCTGGGCCTGCGCCGCGGCTCACTAGGCTAATCCTCCGCCTTGCGGCGCCAGCACACCAGATTCTAGTCCCGGTCGGGGTGCTGGATTCTGTCCTGGTTGCCCCTCTTCCAGGCCAGCTCTCTGCTGTGGCCAGGGAGTGCAGTGGAGGATGGCCCAAGTGCTTGGGCCCTGCACCCCATGGAGACCAGGATAAGTACCTGGCTCCTGCCATCGGATCAGCGCGGTGCGCCGGCCGCAGCGCGCCGGCGGCAGCGGCCATTGGAGGGTGAACCAATGGCAAAGGAAGACCTTTCTCTCTTTCTCTCTCTCTCACTATCCACTCTGCATGTCAAAAAAAAAAAAAAATGCTATCATTCTTTTTTATGGCTGAGTAGTATTTAATTTTGTATATTTACCACAATTTCTTTATCTAGTCATCAGTTGATGGATATCTGGGTTGATTCCATATCTTAGGTATTGTGAGTTGAGTTAAACACGGGGGTACAGATAACTCTTTGATAGCTTTCATTTCTTTTGGGTAAATTCCCCAGGAGTGGAATGT